TGGGGAGGCCCAGGTTCAAATCCTCACTCTGCCATACAAGCTTGCCGAGTGACCTCGGGCCAGTCACACACACCCCAGTCTTGATCTGCCTCACAGGGTTGTTGTGAGGATGAAATGGAGGACAGGAGAATGATGGAAGTCGCTTTGGGTTAGGGTTGCCAGCCTCCAGGTAGGGCCTGGGGATCTCCCGCTTTTACAACTGATCTCCAGCTGACAGAGATCAGCTCCCCTGGAGAAAACAGCTGCTTTGAAGGGTGAACTCTATGGCAGTGTACCCTGCTGAGGCCCCTCCCCTTCCCAGACCCCACCCTCTCCTGGCTCCACCCCCAGAATCTTCAGGTATTTTCCAACCCAGGGCTGGCAACCATACGGTTTGGGTCCCCACTGGAGAGAAAGACAGGGTATGAAAGAAGCAAAGAAATATTATTTACCTCCATGCTGTGAACACATTCGGCCGCTCATATCCATGGATGAAACCTCTGTTAAAGGGACAGGACGTTTCCCCCCAGCCCTGTGGGTAACCCTAGCTGAAGTATGAAATCAGGGTCATGGAGGACATAAGAGTTCTGGCACAGAGGAGCTGAGCCTAGAAGCCTAGAGTTGCCAACTTTTCAACAGGTCCCTCTAGCTGCCCCTTTAAGATCAGAATGATCCACAGCAACGACTGGGTGATGTTATTTACCTCCACACCATCAGAAGCTTCAGTGGCCCACTTCAATGCAAGAAACCTCTATCCAAGGGACAGGGACATGTTTCTGCAGCCGGCAGCCTTTCAGGATCCTAGTGCCAGCAGCAAGGAGGGTGCCGCAGAGGGCAAAAAGGCCACCTCACATTCTCTGCTGTTGCCCCAAATGGTGCCCCCTCTGTGGCTGTTGCTTTCTCGCCATAGGAAGAGATCCAGCCAAAGGAGGGTGCTTAGAGAGGTTATTGAAAAGCAGTCCTTGGAATAACCCTTTGGTTAAAAACCAAAACCTAACTCGGGGTTCTCTGCCTTTTCCCAGGTGCCTCTTGGCCGGCATGCTGGCTGATTCTGAGTGGCAGGAGGGAAGGGGTTAACTGCCTAGACCCTACCTGCCACCGCCTTTTAAAGATGCCGAGATGAAAGCCCATAATTTATTCTCCCCACACACGAAGGAGCAATTAGTTCTAAACACGGCTTAATCAGTCAGCGCAAGATTGATTTCTGTAGACTTGGATTTGGTGGCTCCTGGCACTGTGCCAGCCTGCAAGCAATCTCCAAATAAATGAAGTGCAGAGAAGGAAGCCATTACATAATATGATCTATGGGGCCTGTAACTCGCTCTCCTGCTCATTAGCATGCCTCTGGACAAAGGCAGGGCACCAAACCCGCAGCAGGCTCCTCGGCCGTTCCCGCAATCACCCGCGGGTCTCCTGTTCTACCCTTTTGCTCACGCGGTGGACTCACCCCCAGGCGCCGCCGATTGCCGTCCCTGTTCCAGGCTCCAAGAACAGGCATCTCATTAAAAAAAATTAGAGAGAAATCACCAGTTGAGGAAGGAATATGTAAGTTTGGGTGTCCCACTGCACTCTTAATCAGGCACTGTCTGCTTTGCTGAAATTATAACGATACTCAGGGCCACATTAGACAGAGTGATTGCAAGGTAAACAGCAGCCACCACGGTGAGATTACAAAATCAGATTGTGGGTGTGTGTGTGTACGTGGGTGTTCGATCCCTGTTCTCTCTTGCAGTGTAGCCCCAGCCCAAATCAAGGAGCTCCCTCCCCTGCTGCCGTAGCATGCAGTTAAAAGTAAGTGGGAGATCTGTCGTCGTGTTCATTTTGTCCCCCCACCCCCATGAAGCTTCCAGCATTGTTCCGCTCTCCTCCATTTTATCCTCACCACAACAGACCTGTGATGTAGGTTAGGCTGGAAGAGAGTGACTAACCTAGGGTCACCCAGTGAGCTCCCATGGCAGAGTGTGGGGATTTGAACCTGGATCTAGCACCTCCTAGTCCAACATTGACCCTGACAACATGGTAGCTCTCATTAGGTCTATAGCCGTCCCCCATTACCATAGTCAGGATACCCTATATGATTTCCTCAGTGTAGCTCTACAGTTTCTGAATTTCTCCTGCCAGGGCTCTTTTTGTAGCAGGAAAACTCCTTTGCCTATTAGGCGGCACACCCCTAATGTAGCCAATCCTTCAAGAGCTTACAGTAGCTCCTGTAAGAAGAGCTCTGTAAACTCTGGGAGGATTGGCTACATTAGGGGTGTGTCGCCTAATATGCAAAGGAGTTCCTGCTACAAAAAGAGTGTTACCATTTGCCCCCAAACACTGCAGCCCTGATCAGATTTGCTCCTCTTCTCCATGGCAGTTTTAAACTTTTTTTAAAAAAAAAAAAGGAGGAGAGAGGTGGGGATCACAATTGCTGATCTCCCATGTATTGTCAAATTGGACCCTCTGAACTTTACGGGAGAGCTGGGACTTGAACCCAGGACTTGGCAGTCCAAGTTCAACAATTCATCTCTGCCACTGCCCTGGCTACTAGCACAGCTGCAGCGTAGCTCCTCCTCCATCTCCAGGCCTGGTTCCTCCCCTCTTGAGGAAGGAGGGGATACAAACGAGGCTCCTGAGAGTCCATCCTTCTTCTCTGTTTGCTCCGGCTGGCCGTGTTTGCTGGGGGCCCATGCTCTGACACACACTATTGTCTGGCAGACTAATCAGCTGTGCAGAGCCCCACTGAGAATTCCATGGGAAAATTCCCTTGGATGGCAGCGGAGGCATAATCCACAGGTCACAGGCAAGAGTTTCCCAGCATCCCATGCCTGTCACGGATCGAATTCCCCGCTGGTTCTCTTTGCCCGCTGGGCATTAGGAATGAAAAGCGTCGCCGGGAGCTGAGAAAAGGTGGGGCTTCTCCTCTGGCTCCATTTTGCAGCATCGAAGCTTCGCTTTTTGGATAGTGTAAAAAAAAAATGTATCATATGGCAGGGAGCCCTGGCAGCAGAGTGCGCCAGCAGCTGCAAGAGCTTTTGTTTGCCATGGGAATGGGAGACCTGCAAGGCCTTTCCGTTGCTGAGCCGCTGAATGGGGCACTCAGTAACCGGCCGGGGTGCCAAGCCCAAGTGATGAGACAGTCGAGCGAGGTGGAAAGATGGCCGTTTCCCCAAAGAGCAGCGTTTTTGGAAAGGGGTATTCAGGGCAATCCTTGCAATCTAGGGCTGCTTGGGTTGGATAATGAAGACTGGCACTTGTCAGGAACTGTAACATATGGGTGATTCCACACTAGACCTTAAATCCTGGTTCAACCCTGTCCCCGAACGTACATTCTACACTACACTCGAGTTCACCCCTGTAGTTATCTCGGGGTATTTTTTTTTGTTTCCATATTACATTGAGGTCACCATGGTTTCGCCCCACACGTCCCAGGATGCTGTTATAACCAGGGATAAATGCAAGGTATTGTGTCATGAGTTGAACTCTGATAAAACCAGGGAGAGATCCAAGTGTGGAAAGGACCATAACCATATGAAAGGTGACAAGGAGGGGTTGGATTGAGCAGACATTTCAGCTGACGGGAGGGATTTTGGGCAGCAGGACAGGACTTTCTTGCCTCCCCCTGTCCGGCTCCCTAAAATGCTGCTTCCCGGGGAGGGGGATAGGGGACTGCCAGAAACAGGTGGAGAAGTGAGTTGGAGGTCTGCAGTGGAAAAGAGGAATCAGCAAAAATCACACACAGTTCCATTGGCTATCTGTAGATCCAACCTACCATCTGAGACCTGAAGTCAGAGGTATTGCAACAGAACTCATGGAATTGCAACTGGTTTATAAAGCTGGAGATTGTTCTCCTCAGACAACCCATCCTTCAGGACTGCTGAGATGTGGGGAGGAAGAATGGGGGAGAGAATTCTGGAGGCTGTGGAGGTGGGCAAGGTGTTGTTAATGTGGCTTCCTTCCTGGGAAGAAGTAGAAAAGTGTGATCTTGCTCTCTTTTTTTTGCCTAACCTACCTTGCTGGGTTGTTGTGAACCATGTACACAGACCTGAATTCCTTGGTAGGATTTAAGGAATGGGATGGGGAAAAAATTGTTGGTATGCACAGAGGGGGCCAGTCATTAGCCTTTCCATGTTAACAGCTAGTCCTATACACTGCCATGAACTACTGGGAAGGAAGAAGAAGAAGAGGAGGAGGAGGAGGAGGAGGAGGAGGAGGAGGAGATTGGATTTCTACCCTGCCCTTCACTCAGAGTCTCAGAGCGGCTTACAAACTCCTTTCCCTTCCCCACCCCACAACAGACACCCCACCCCACAACAGACACTAGGTGGGGCTGAGAGAGTTCTAAGAGAACTGCTCTTTCAAGGACAGCTCTGACAAAACTATGGCTTGCCCAAGGTCATCCAGCAGCTGCAAGTGGAGGAGAGGGGAATCAAACCTGTTTCTCCCAGATTAGAGTCCATGCACTTAACCACCACACCAAACTGGCTGGGATGAGATGAAGATATGGGGGTATCCACTGGTGGCAAAGGGAGGAAGGGGTCTTGCTTTGACCACTAAGAAGACTCTGCTAGGGATCATGGATGAATGCCATGTGAGATGGGGGCTGAAATCAGAAGGGGAATCAGTTGAGATTGAGCAAAATAGCTGGTTGGCTCTAACCTCTCATTAAGAACCAAATATGACTGGGTGCTTCCATGTGTCACCTTCCTCAGTGTTGGTAGTGCCAAACTAGAACAGGTATTTGCTATGGTGAAGCATTAGCTCTAGTGGTTCAGAGTAATGGCTGACCTTCTTTCGAGCTCTCCACTGGCAACACTTAGACGAGCAGTGGTCAGCAAGGGGGTTCTCCTGGGAGGGCTCAAAAGTCTGATTCAGCCTGGCAGTCACCTGCAAAACCAGTCTCTGGAGACTGAGGGTATCTGGGAGCACCCCAAGGTCTTGCATGTTAGGTATTGGACAAGGAGTTCCAGGCAGGGAGCTGTGGGCACCACTGGTTGACACTGATGTGATCATTGTCTTTTTCCCCTCTCTCTCTGCAGAACTCCATCCGCCACAACCTGTCCCTGCACACCCGCTTCATCCGCGTGCAGAACGAGGGCACCGGGAAGAGTTCCTGGTGGATGCTGAACCCAGAAGGGGGCAAAACGGGAAAGACGCCACGCCGACGAGCTGTCTCCATGGACAACAACAGCAAGTTCTTGCGGATCAAGGGCAAAGCCAGCAAGAAGAAGCAGCTGCAAACTGCTCAGGAGCGCGGGGAGGACAGTCCGGTAAGCCAGCAGGCCAAGTGGTCCGAGAGCCCGACCTCCCATGCCAGCGAGGAGTATGATGCTTGGGCCGACTTCCGGACTCGGGCCAACTCGTCGGCCAGCACCCTCAGCGGGCGCCTCTCCCCAATCATGGCCAACCATGAGCCTGATGAGTTGGAAGAGGATGACGGGACTCCATCCTCACCCCTGATGTACCCAAGCCCGTCCAGCACCATGTCCCCCTCCCTGAACACCCGCTGCTCTGTGGAGATGCCCAGGCTGACGGACCTCACGGGCACCATCAACCTGAACGAGAGCCTGGGCGAGAGCCTTCTTGATGACCTGCAGGACAGCTACAACATGAGTCCTGCTCAGCCGCTCCCTGCCGGGGGCCTCCGACAGAGGAACTCCAGCTTCAGCTTCAACTCCAAGTGCTCGGTGGTGGGCAATGGAGTAGGGGGAGGAGGAGGAGGAGGAGGAGGAGGGAATACCTACTGTGGGACCATCTACAGCCAGCCTGCCATGAGCCTCATGCGCCGTCTGCCCATGCAGACCATCCAGGAGAACAAGCAGGCCACCTTTGCCCCCATGAACTCCTATCGCAACACCTCCTTACAGGACCTGCTCTCCTCCATCTCCTATGCGCATAAGGAGGGCGAGCAGCACATGCCGCCAGCTGGCAGCATGGTGCCACCCCGTGGCCACAGACAGAACACCCTTGTGTGCGGGGGTGGGGGTGGAGGGGGAGAGATCGGCCTGGTCCCCTACCCTCCCCACCCCTCCGCCCTGATGAAGAGCAACGCGTTGTATCACCCATCACCAGCCAGCCACCACCCTCCTATCAACAACAGTGCCTTACCCTCTCCTATCAGCCTTATGAGCCTGCCCAGTGACTCTTGTGGCATGGTGGGCATGCCTCACCACATCCATTCCTATGTCAACAACCAAGGGGCACACATGAGCTTGCTAGATTCCTTGCAGGGACCCTACCCAGAAGCCATGCACACTCCCGTTATGGGCCCAGACAGATTCCCAGCAGACTTAGACTTGGACATGTTCAATGGTAGTTTGGAGTGTGACGTGGAGTCCATCATTCTCAATGACTTCATGGACAGTGACGAGATGGACTTCAACTTCGACTCAGCTCTTCCGCCACAAAACGGTCTCAACATGGCCACTTTGCCCAGTGCCCCGCAGCCCACCAATCAGAGCTGGGTGCCTGGGTGAGAGGACTAACCCCAATAGCTCCAACCCACCAGTCAAGTGGGGGGACAGGGGGAACGGGGGATTGGAACAAACTTTCTCCGTCTCTCTTTCCTTCCCCCCCCCAACTTTTTCTTCTTTGCCTTCATTTGTTCAGCCAGGCTAGAGCCATCTGTTTAAACTTGACAACGACACTAAAAACACACAGACACACAATGTAGGGTAAAATGTTTTGACAGGTACCAGCGGCTTCCCGCTCGTGCCAGGTGTATTGTGCAGTAAGTCGGATCTGTCTTTGATGTGTGCAATAGGCACAACTTAGCCATGGCATTGCGGAGCTGCTGACCCTCTCCCACCTTCTCTCCTCTCTCTGCCTCCCTCCCCTCCCCTCCCTCCCTCCCTGGGCACCTGCACTACTGCACAGAAAGAGGGAACGGGTGGTTTGCGGCCCAAAGAATGTCTCCGGTCTTATTGTCAATCCTCCCTCCTTGGCTTCCTTCCTTAGATGGCCTCCTTGGCAGGGCAGTTCTAAATTTCCATTGACTCCTTGGTACCTAGACGCTTGTTCGATTCCCCCAGCCTGGCCTGACTGTGGTGTTCCTGATGGAGAGGCCAATAGACTAGGCTCCCTGACTCTTCTACAGCAGCCTTGTAAGCCTCACTGAGCATTAGGGAGGCCAATAGACTAGGCTCCCTGACTCTTCTACAGCAGCCTTGTAAGCCTCACTGAGCATTAGGGAGGCCAGTAGGCTAGGCTCCCTGACTCTTCTACAGCAGCCTCGCAAGCCTCGCTAGGCCCCACAGAGGCCAATACACTAGGCTCCCTGAATTTTCTGAGGTACTTTTGTTATCAATGCTACAGGAAAAAAAGCAGCTGCTTTAGTTCTAGGACAACCTTATCCAATGAATCTTTGTGGATTTCTTCATAGTGTGTGTGTGTGGGGGGGGAGAAAACACTGTTATCCTTGTGATGGACCAGGGAAAAAGTTTCTGATCACTGTGGATCCAGCAGCTGCCACAGGGGATGCTCCAGGAAGCTGAGCCAATCTGATCAAAGCCAGCTTCACCAGTGGTCGCATTTTCTGTTCTCAGTGCCTGAAAACAGCAACGGGCAGTTGCTGGTCTCAAACTGTGTACGCATGCAGCACTAGCAAGAGCGTGTGCACGGACACATGACTGCTGTAGTACGTACAAGTGCACATTTTGCACATAAGCATGGCTCTTGGCACTATATGAAGAGCTTGTTGCAGGAGTGACATTGCTGCTGCTGGCCTGGGAACCAGGCTGGAAGCTGGAGCTGGGCCAGGAGGAATAGTGAGGCAAGGATTATTTATTTGACTTTGTGCCCTCTCTTGCCCTTGAATACTCAGCATCGCTAAGGCAGCTCTTAGGCTTTGGAATGAGGTAGTTGCAGTTCTCAGTCCAAAAGGCAGGCAGGCAGGCAGGCATGCCATAGATTTGGAGTAGGGGCGGGCTGTTTTAAAAATCTGGAGTTTCACAGTCCTGAGATAGTCCAGAATGGGAAAGAGAGTCTACTTTGGAGCTTTGGTTTCATAAGTTGTAGGGGAAGATGAAAAGGACCAGTCTTTCTGTAAATGACTGGGAGTGTCGAAGCCGGTTTGCAATAACTAGATTTGTACCACACAACCCTTAGCAGCCAGGTGATGACCAATGGATCACAGCGATGAATTCAGAATGAAAGGTGCTGGCCAGAGGTAGGTATCTCTTCACCCTGGCACTCTTAGATGCCAGGCTGCCATCCAAGAATATGACAGGAAGTACTTGGATTCCACTTGGGGTTGAACGATCCCACCAGTTTGTGGGTCTACTGCAGGGACAAAGACAGGCTGAGCTATATTGTGAAATGTTCACCCTTATTGAGCAGCTGTAGGGCATTTGGCTGCAGAATATCCCTGGGAAGTACGTGTCCATAGGCACAGCCCTGACTGTTGGATTGGAGAAATAAACTGTTCTCATTGTTCATGTTCTCCACTAGAGTTTCCAGCTTTGCCTTGGCAAATGTTGGGAGATTTGAGAGGCAGTGCCTGGGAAGGGCAGAATTTTGGGAGGATATAATGTAAGTTCCAAGTGGCAGTCTAAGCAGCCTCCTCTAGACTCTATGGTCTTTACCATAGTATTTATATAGAGACTAGGGGAAATCCCTAGAGTGTCATTGTGTGGAGGCCATTTTTCCCCTTGTCCTCAATTCCTTTGGGCAGGAAATTGTGTTGAGGGTTAGTGATTCCATACCCTGGGCAGGCAAATGGGAGGCCTATTCTCCACCCCATAGGGTTATAAATGTAGAAACCTTCAGCCTTCATGCTACCGGAAACTGGATCAGGGTGTTTGAGTACAATTCTGTCCCAGGCTAAGCATTTATTAGTTTCAGATTACAGCAGAATGAGTCTATATTCATTTTTCAATCTGCCCCAATCACATGTAGTTTGAGCTGGATGGTGCAACTTGGAAGTAAATGGGACCTTGCTCTCGAGGTATGTTTGCATCTAAGACTGTCGTCGGAGTCCTGCTGATTTCGAGGGAAGAATGAAGCACGTTTAAAGACATTGAAGTTTCTCCCCTTGAAATCAGTGGGGCTTCATATCACTTCAGTATGCCTGGATCCTGCCCATAGCTTTGATCCAAACAATAATCGCAAATGTGCACAGTCTTAGGGATAGCTGCTGCATTCTAATGTAATACATCTCTCTGCTAGTTGGAAGATTTTTAAAAAATTCTAGAAAGTTGAAAATAGGAAACCATCAGCATTGTGGTAAACTTAAACAAGGTGGCATGGGCTTAGGACTCATCACCCCAGTCCAGCAAGGGAGATCACAGAAACACCCTTCTGAGCATGTTCACTTCTGTGTGGAAAGATGCCTTTAGCCATACATGAATGACTCCTTCCTCTTCCACATTGCAATGCTTGTTGGCAGCAGATGTGCATCTTGTGGCACACAATGTTGTGGATCCTTTTTTTTTTGGGGGGGAACCCATTGCAATGTGTAAAGAGCTGCCCCACAAGGAGAATTAAATTATGGCCAGTATGTAGACCTCTGTATGGTCATGCTGAAATGAATGAAGGATCAAACTCCTGAAGAAAAGGGTTTTAAAAAACCATTATTCCTCAACGCAATGAAAATAGCATCACTGAATATTCTCAAAAGAGATATGGTAAGAGGTGTGGGGTGTCCCCCACCCCCATTTTTACCTTCCCACAGTAGTCAGGAATGGGCACAAAGGCCAGTTAAGCATAGAACTGAAGGATATTCTGTCCGTGCCAAGAATAAACATTATGAACAATGAGATGGGCTCCCAGAATCAATGTCTGGGGCTCTCCTGTGCTCTGGCTTTGAACATGCCACAGCCTGTGGACACTGGGTGTGGGGGAGAGATTACCTTTCCTGCACCTCCATTTTTATTTCCCCCCCCCCCCCCACATTCTGTGATCTCACACAGGTCAGAGATCAGAGGCTATCAGCAACAAGGGAGCATATCCTGCTACCCCCTCACAATGCTAGGAAGAGGTGCTGTGCTTCCCCCCTCATGCTTGGCAGGAGACAAGTCAGAACCATCAGCATTATTCTTTAGGTCCTGTGATTAGCGACCGGCTAAGAATCATCCCAGGTTCTATAAATGTTTACATTGCTGGACCAGTGTTCTAAATTCAATAGATCAAATTTCTTTAGGCTTGGAATGAGGATTGCTATTTTCGATCATGCGCACGAATTCGGGCTTTCCAAAAAAGAAGTTACAGAGTCGAGTTTCCCCAAATGTATTCAGCGAAGAATCCTGAATCTGGGAGGAGGATTCCAGAGCCAGCCTTCTGGGCCCTCAGGGGCAGGGAGTTACCTCAGACTGTTATTCCGAGAAGGAGAGAGAGTAGGAATCCTGTGGCACCTATGGTCATTTTCTCCCATACCCACCTGTGATCCGGGAGGGGGGAAGGGGAACCTGCCAGGAGATCAGAGGTGGGAGACCCTTGCCGTTCCCGTTCATCACCTTCACTTTCCCACCCCCTCCTAGGTTACACAGAGGTAGCAAACTGAGTACTGTCCCACAGCTGTCAGGAGGAGACTAAAGAGAGGGGAGGGGAGCAAATAGGGCTGCTGGTGTCACCTGGCCATTGTGAAAGTTTGACTGGAGATCCACCCCACCCCCCGGAAGTGCCCTCTTGCTCGGCCATCTTTGTGGTGTGTGAACTGTAGGGTCGTTGTGTGTTGCAATGGAGTCATATTGCTAAGCGTTGTGTTGACCGTCTTTGTGCAAGTGAAGTGCAGTGCCAAGGGGCCAAGATGGTGAGCGAGGGCATGGGCAGAGGGTGTGCCAAGGAGCCATTGAAGAAGGTGCCCATAGAGAAGGGGAGAGTGGTCCAGTTGAAATGGGGGCGCACCCCTTGGCAAGTGAAGCCCGTGCTGCCAGCTTTTGGCAAGAACCAATAAACAAGATGGTGGGTCTTGTCTAGAGAATACAGAGTGTTTCCCTGCAAACTCATCAACTGAGAGGCAGGGGCACTTGTGAAGGGTGAGGGGTGAGGATAAGTCATCCCCCCGGAAACAAAGACAGTAATTTTATTGGAGCTTCGGTAGGGATACTGTTGCTGTTAGAACTTTTCAGCAGGGATCTTCCTGGTCAACATTCTGCTTGCTAGGGTTGCCAACTCCAGGTTGAGATATTCTTGGAGATTTGGGGGGGTGTAGCCTGGGGAGAGACTGCAGTAGGGTATAATGCTATTGAGTCCACCCTCCAAAGCAGCCATTTTCTCTATGGGAACTGATCTCTGTCATCTGGAAATCAGTTATAATTCTGGGAGATCTCCAGTCCTCACCTGAAGTTGGCAACCCTATGCCTGCCCTAGTTGTCTACTTGCATCTTAGCTATCAGCTGAGCCCAGAACCTGATTCCCCCCCCCAACATATACACGTACCCCAGCGAGCGGCTGACAATCTTAAAAGTACAGATGTTGACTGATTGGCTTGGTGAAGGGATGAGTGCCATGTGGCCAGAAGTTGCAGGGATGTGCTTTCATGTGCCCGTGTCCTTGATGTGCCCCTGAGGCTTGGCTCCTTGTGATAGATACACCCGAGAAGTAAAGTAGAGCTTCAGTCTTTGGCAGGCTATCACTTGTCTCCTAATGCACTTAAAACTTTTTAAAAGTCTTTTGCGGAGAAAAAAAATCCATTAAAAGTATACATATATGGGGAAGGAGGTATCCCCCCCCTTTGATTATCAGAATACCAATTCAACCCATATTTTGTTCTCTTTAAAATAGAAATATCCTTTCTGCTCCCACTCACAAAATCTGATGGATGCTGACTTGAGGCCTGTTCACAAATTACAGTGAACACACATTCAATCCATGTACTCTTGATTTTTCTTTGAACGTATGTTGAGTAATTGTCACATTACAGTCAACACGTGAACAACTGAATGTGTGATCAAAACCCTACGTGTGAGTACCGGTCCTGTTTCTTTTGTAAAGCTCTTTCTTACAAACTGGTAGGAAATTTGTGTGTTCACTGGAACACGTGAACAGGGTACTACTGCTTTGAAAGGCCACAGGTGAGATTCCATCATCCCAATGAAGGCAATTGCGCTTCACTAGTGGAAGTAATCAATGACTCCTGCCCTTCCCCCCCTCACTGAAAGCTTTTTGCCCAGCTCCACACATAATACAACCACATTTTATCAGAGCCAGAACCTGTGGGGCATGTGCATGCCTAATAAAGGAGGAGAGAGTGTTTCTGTGCATGTGCAAAACTCGTTTCCTTCAGATCTGGTATACTGAGCTGCTTTGGGTGAACAGGAAAGATCAGACCTT